CAATGGTCCCAAAGGTTTCTCCTTATCCTGTAAGCAGGCAGGGAGCCTGGTGCCTTCAATGACTCTTTGCCTAAGAAAGCCCTTTGTGACTTGTCCTGTAGCAAGGTGTTAAGTGATGCAAGACTTGCCTCTCTCCATCCAGCCTCAGATAGAGAAGAGGAGCTGCTTACTGTGCCATCTAAGCTATGTTTGGCCATTCTGCCATTTGGGCAGACCTGCTGCCCCTCTCTGGCTTGCACAGGAAAACCAGCTGCCTCAAGGCAGTCACCCAATGCATCTGCCACAACTTTCATTGGCATGGCCAGAGTCATCTGTTCTGCATGAATGGGGCTGACCAGCATCTGGCAAATCTCTGCACCACTAGGATCTGTTGTAAAGGGCAAGTGACCAAGTACTCCAACAGCAGAGCTGTAAGGCAGAATTTAGTAAACAATGGCTCTGCCCTGGCATGGGTGCCTTTGAGCTTTCAGCTCAAAAGAGTTGGGCTCCTTCCCCATTTAAAATCACTTGAATCCATAGTGTCCAGCAGAGTCACAATATCTGTTACCTAGGCAGTGTTTTGGGTGCCCATGTCTTCAGATTCAGTGGCTCTGGCAGCCAGCACATAGCTGAGGTATCTGAGAGTCTGCCGCAGTGAGGCAGGGCTGCATGGGGTGCACAGGGAGGGCAGATTTGGCCCATGCAGGTGGCAAATTGCCATTCTTTTTGCCCTGCCCTTCCCTAAAGCAAACACAACTCCAGAGCTTGACCTTGGCTGACTGGAAAATGAGCCATGTTCACTGAAGAGGCAGCTGAGGCAGTGTAAACCGGTGGTGTCACTCACTGGCACTACCCTGCCTCACTGCATGTGGTTTGTCTGGGCCAGCGCTCCATTAGTAAAGTGCAGAAGTGGAAGGAGTGTACATTGGCAATGCAGTTGTCTGTCTCTAGAAGATCTGGGAATTTAACAGTCTTAGAGACTTAAAGATGCACATTTCCACCTCACCAGAATGTCTGAGATTTAGAAAATCTTCCTATCCTGAGGCAGAACAAACTGCCTGTATTTTGAAAAGAATGAAAACATGAAAAATATGGCTTGAGTCAGTCAAAATGTTTTTGACATGTTTTGTTTCAATTGTTCAAAGCTTTTATGATGTGTTTGCAGATTTTCTATCTAGACCAACTAAAATCTTTGGAATGACATACTTGAATAATACTGAAATTTCATTCTCTCTCTGATTTTGTATATAAAGACAATCTTCTCAATTCCTTTCCTTGCAAGCCCATATTTTTCACTGGTTTAAGTGAATGCTTACTTTCTGCTTTAAAAAAAAAAATCAGTTGGTGTAATGTAAATCTGCTTGATTAAATTAGAAAGAGCTTTTGAGGAGCAAAGTCAGGGAATTTATCTCCTGTATGATAAATGGTGTCAAAGAGGTTACCACTGGTTATAAAATTAATCTGGGAACTAGTTTTTCCTATCTTCTAGCTCAGTTTTAAAATCTGGTAATTCTGTCTTTGGTTTGAGTCAGGAAATCAGTGTAAGAAGCCTCACAAAGCACTTAGAGATCATTTGAACATGAGGCAGCAAACAGAGATCAACATCCTGAAGTTTTACAGTCCTAACAGCAAGCAAAGACATTAGCTTCTCATCCACTGGCAGTTGATTCCAAATCCCTCTAAAGGGCTTACAGAAAATGTATGTTATTGAATTGTACAATTGAATTCCTCAGCTAAGTCTCCCTTCATACTAGGTCTTGTAGCTACTTGGCTACAACGTCATCGTGGTGCACGACCTGCTGCTGGGCAGGACGATGCTGGCACATTAAACTGGCTGGATGGGCACATATTCATGTGTATTTTGATGATATGTGACACCTGTAATTGTTTGAACAGCTCACCTGAGGAGGGCTGAACTGAGGTGCGAGGGAAGCAACCCTGCCTGGCCAAGATACAGCAGCCAAGAGTAACAAACCCCAGCAATTGCCCAATTAAAGCTAAGCCCCTCTTTAATCAAGACAGTCAAGTTAAGAGGCCCTCGGGATTTTTGTGAGAAGGAGGAAGTTCTAATCATTACAAAGAGAATTGCTTCTTTTTCTACCAGGTTTGAAGTTGCCCCCAAATTAGCAAGATGCTAATTTTGAAAAGGAGAATCATTAGTTTTTAATAAAGAATTTGCTCCTTGGGAGGTGTGGAGATGGACTGAAAGCATTTTGCCATTCAGTTTAGAGTTCATTAGTGCACCCATCAGGGAAAATGTGTGAGAAAAGTGAAATCAGATGAATATTCCTTATTTAACCTCCAAACCAGTAATTTGGGAAAAAAAAAGGCAATTTCTTCTAAATCTAGGTTCCAGGTTACTGCTTTTTATCTGAGCTCCATTAAATTATTCCCCTGCTAAATTTTCATGAAATAGGCTTTTTGCTCCAGCAGACACTGACTCCCTGAGATCATTTTGAAAGCAAAACATTCTGTTTTTATTAGTAATGATACATCTTCCACCCTGGTGCTTGTGAGGGCTTGAGGAAGGTGTTTGTACCTAGGTGTCAATTTTCTGCCCTGAATCCCTGTTTTTTCACTGACATGGGATGGGCAGGATGAGCTGGTTCCTGTTTGTCTCCCTGGCTATGGGTAGCACCAGGGTATAACAGAAAGTCATGAGAGCACCTGGCAGTGATTCTGCCTCCAGACAAGTCAAGAGGCAGCATCCCTGGTCTCACGCTCACTGCTCAGGCTTGTAGCTCAATCCCTCTCACCCTCACTCCCACTGCAGTGTGAAACTGCAGAGAGGAGACTCTCTTTGGGCTCAATTATGGTAATTTCTTCCTTCCTTGGTTGTCCCATGTGATTAATTCCCAGCTTTTATTTCTATGTGGCAACCACCAGACACAATTTTTCTACAGGCTCCTGTTTATTCTGGACTTACACATGGCAAGTTTCCTATACAACCCTTTTTAAAAACACACATTTATTTGCTTTTACTGACTCTGGTCAAAGCAACTATTCTGAAATCCCATAGGGATGGAGCATTAGGGGCAGACAAATGTGATGAGCTGGAGCTGCTCCACATACCAAGTGCAGCTGGTTGAAAATAGCCTTGACCTTTTTATAAACTGAAGTGTTGTCCAGCCCTGTTTTCACTGACCTGACATATTAATGTGCTAAGGGGATTGGGCAGTATTGCCTCAACATTTCCCAGATGGTTGTTTCTTGGGGCATGTTTGCCTTGACAGATTTCTTCCTGTGCATGAACTCTGAGGTAGAAGGAATCTTTTACAAAGATTTTGTATTACTGTCTATGATTTTTATGGCAAAATGAGCTTCCTTCATGTTGTTTTGCTTCCTTTCTTTCTTCTCCTTTGTGACCTCACAGCCCTTAGTGCCTGAATTCCAGCCTTCGTGTACCTCATTTCCTCTCTCTACTGTCTCTGAGGAGGGCTCTGTATCCATGACCCAGCCATGCTTGTACTGCAGTCTGAAGGGCTGTTCACGTGGCCATGATCAGACTGGGACCTATCTAGGTGTGTAGAAGACCCCAGAAGTCTGGAATTCCCTGCCAGAAGCAGCAATGGAAACAACAAGCTTGGTTTGGGGCTTCCAGGTTCTTGCCTCTATGCTAGGAAGTCTGGAAGCCCCCATACTCCAAGGATTTGCAGGATCCTCACTGTGGGAATGAGCTGGGTTCCCTGGGCTGCCAGAGGCTACTGAGTTCTGCAGCCCAGATATCCTCACTCCACTGCAGTCCTGCCAACATTCAAGGAGGAGATTCCTATCAAGCCATTTTACTACAGGTTTGGCTTCACAGGCAATGCAGAGCCTAGGTGAGAGCAGAATCAGGCCTTTAATCTCAAGGAATGCAATGACATTTTATCATGTCCTCTGAATTATTCTGCCACAAGCATCTTGAATGTCTGGTTTATCTCCTCTAAAATGATCCGTATACACTGCTCATCAATCACCTTTATTTCACAACCAACATGCCACAGGTGGTTCAGCAACCTGAGCGTTTGGACTGAAATTATTGTATTTTCTGGAGCTCTGGGCCTGAACCAGGAGGAAGCTGCTGGTGCATTTGAGACGTTTGGGTGCTGTGGAGATGGAGCATGGGGTGCTTGGGTGGATGGCTGGTCAGCCACCTGTGTCAGGCTCTGTCCTTCTGCATGCCAGCTCTCAGGAGCAGCAAATTTCAGCTTTGCAGTAGGTTATGAAGGCAAGGGTGAAGCAAGTGAAAACTTCTTTTCTTTCTCAGTTAAAACACTCAGGGTTACTTTGCCTTAGGAGCACAGGTCTACCTGCCTGGCTTTCTCCTATTTCACTGCAACCTGGACTTGAACGGCAAAGTGATTCCTGCATGAGTAGAAATTGGGGGTGCCTGAGAAATCTTAAGCACTCACAGGAGCACTGGCTTTTTTGGAGAAGTTGCTCATCAGTCACCAAAGTCTAAATCTAATTTTAGGCATTAAGCTGAATTTGAGCTCTTGGAAAACATATGGCATCAATTCTGCTTACTGATCAGTTTTGATAAATTGGCTTGATATAGTTAAACCATTTGAGTTGCTTTCCATTCCCCAACAGGACATGTGAAAAAAGGAGGAAACTCTAGGGCTGAGAGACACCAGGTCTGGCCAAGCTAGATCCAATGTACCTGTTTTAGCTGTCTATCCTCCCTGTATGACCAGCTGTTTATTTTGAGCCCTGCTCTGGAATATGTGCAAGTTGGGAAGGGATCTCACCAATAACTCTGCACTTACAAAGCCACTTAGTGGTACAGAAAATACAAAACACTATCTGGAATACATGAAATGATGAAATGAAGAGTTAATGAATCCTCAAGAAGTTTTAAGTTTGCATAGAGAAATCGGAGAGGGGAGGTTCACCAGTACATTTCTCTGGCCAAACCCACAGATGAAGATTAACTGAAAGTCTCTAGGGACAACAAACAGAACAATGTTTCCTGTGAGGCCAAGAGTTTGTTTTGCCATTTGTTCTCCTTACGTTACCATGGAATACAAGTGCTGCTGTGAGTACAAGAAGAAATAACTTTATGCCCTGCATTTATCTTGGACACATCCTGAAGCTTAATCTGGTCATAGTGCTCTTCTTTTGCACTGGACCACTTCACTGCTTTCTCCATGGAAATCCCTCCATCTGGGGACACACCACCGACACCTTTGTGTGAGACTCTCCACAGAGATTTCCGTAAGTAACGTGCTTGGATTGTGTTCCTGTTCTTTCCATGTTCCCTGGCTGGGAGTGCTCGAGCAGACAGACGTTGTGAGTGGAATGTTGGTGGGAGTGGGCTGTTTGGTGGCAATTGTCTAAAATATCCATGCAAGAGCTTCAGAATGAGAGTTGTGCCAATCTGCAATGCAAACCTGTTTCTAAGATGTGTGCTCATCCAGGTGGAAATCTGGGAAGCATATAATGTAACCTACATGTCCTGTTGTGCTTGTATTGTACTGAACTGTTGTTCCTGTATTATGGATCACTAATGCTGTTAAGTACCTGAAATGGTTTGCAGAAACTACGTGACAAATTGTTCTAAAAAACGTATAAGCCTATAGAAAAAACACCCCTGTTCATAGGGGGAAAGAAAAGCAAAAGGCAGAAAATGAGCAAGCTGCTATTAGTTTCTATGAATTAATCACTCATCTTCAGATCTGACAAAATACTCAGAGGAAGTTGGAGTCTCTTTTTGCTCTATTTTCAGCTGGTGCTTGAAGTAAAAGTGTCAGAAATCTCTGTGCAAAGCCTGTTCTGATGAGATTTCCAGCCAGTTTCATGAATGAAGTTGGTTTGGATTAACTGTGAATAAGTTCTTGTGCAGAGAACTAGCAAAGCATGGGTTCATTGATCACAGACACTTCTGTGTGTGGTGTCTGACCCAACACTCAATAAAGGCAATGAGAAACCTCCTGGGGCAGCTTATCCAATAGCTGTGGAGCCACTTTGCAGTTCCAAAGCAGCTGGAGTCAGCTGTTCCTAGACACTGGAAACTGGATGGGAGGGAAATTTGCTTATGGTCTATTCACCTGATTTATGGGGGTTTGCATCAGGCCCAAGTTCTTTACACCGTACAGTGCTCATTTACAAAACTGGTGTAGCAGGGGAGACCTAGTAAGAGTCAAGGTCTCCTCTTTTCCTCCTCCTGCACTGATGCCTTACTTCCCATCAGTAATTAACAGGGATGCATGCCTGTTTCTTCTGGGATTGTTTAACTGTGGGGACTGTTCCAGGGCTGTCCCCTGAGGCTGTCTCCACAAGTAACAGGCTTTTAAGTTATGCCTCTCTATTGATCCCCCACCTGAACAATTAGCACTGGTGATTGCTCTGAGTCCAAAGGTGTCTGCAATCAACCCCACAATGATATTCAAGGAGAGCACTGTTTTAAAAGGCTGCCTCTCCTGAAGTGTGCTGTGTGTTTTAAATGTGACAGGCTACATGACAGGACCTGAAACAGAGACATTTGAGAAAGCTTGGAAACTTCTGATCCTTGAGCTTGAGCCAAGCCATACTTTCTGAATTTTTGGCTTGGGAGTCTCTGATTCAAGCACAGCATTTTCACCTGCTATCCATAGCTTTATCATTCCTGCAGAATAATCACTGTTTTTAAGATGCCTGCCTTAATATAACAATATAACAATTCTCTGCATATAACAATATAACAATTCTCTGCACGACAAAACCCTAAAAATCTGGTGGCTGGTAAATAAGAATTATTGAGAATGATTGATTGTTTCATTTGAGGCATCAGTACCTTCAGCAGAGCTGTAAAGAGAACAGCTCAGCTTCCTTGAAAATTGTAAACGAACTTTTTTTTTGTTACGAAGCTCGCTTTGCCTTCTCTGCAAACTCCAGCCAAGGCTCCTGGGGGTCAGATTTTCTGGAGGTGGAAATCCAATACTGAATGTCTGATGGGGCATGGGGGCTACCAATTCTGCTTGTGAGGCTGTGTGAAAAGCTAGTATGTGCACTGAGAAGTAAAAGCACTGACTGAATGATCTTTCAGGAGTTGTGGACTCAGTTCTTGTTTCCATGCAAAATTCAATGTGTTCTGTGTGTTTTCTGCACAGCCTTGAGTTGGTTTCTTTTCTTGTCCTCACATGGGCTCAGTTGCTAGACCAGTCTTGCAGTAGGTGGAAGAGAGTAGGAGAGGTCAGGCCTCCCATCTGCTTCTTTAAGCAGCCTGGGCAGCCCCACGGCTGGCAGGGCTTCTGCCTGGAGTGACCAGAGTCAGCAAAGAGGCACAGGGCACTGCCATCCTTATCTCGTGTGTGCTGTCACTGCACCCCCATGCAGCTGTGCCACCAAACCACCTGTGCAGCCAAATGCCATACAGGAGATGGGACTTACAGGGAGCATCCTTCAGGCACTGCTTTTCCTTCACAGCTTTTATTTTAGAAAGTGGATAGTCCTCTGTCTCTTCTCAGCCTAGTGGCAAAGCTGCTGGAGCTGGCATCGCTCAGTTTGGGGGTGGATGCAGGAAGACAGGTTGGAGTGAGTCTGCTTGAAGAGTTGTGTGCTGATTAGGGTCAGATGTAATTGCCATAGGGGCACTTAATTGAGGGGGTATCAATAGACAGCAAGCCACCTCTGTAATTTACCTTCCCTGCCTGTTATTTAACAAAACTATTGAGAGAAAGGCTCCATTAACTACACTTTTGTCTTTAATTCTGCAACTGCAGTAAAAGCCAGTGTAGGAGAAGCCCCTGAATACAGGATAGAATTGGTTCTGTAATAATAATAATAACTTGCTTTCCCTCTTTGAAAATAAATATGGTTCTTAGTAGAGAGATTTACCCGTTGCTGGCAGTCAATCAGGCAGGACAGTTTGGGCTCTGAGTACTTGATTAGAATAACTTTAAGGAAAATTGCCTTCCTGAATCAAGTAAGGATCCATTAACCTGATGAAACAGGGTTTGCTTATCTGAGAGGTTAAGACTCATAACACAGCTTGGACTGCATTAGATGAGGCCTCTTTTAGAATAGAAAGTAATAAAAACACCATCTGTCATGTCTAGTCAATCAGACCTTGTATAAGAGAGCAATTATTCCTCTGACTTTACCATTATAAGATCATCTGTTTGTTAACAATGGGAAGTGTCAGGAATACTGAAAACTGGTTTTATGCCCTCAAATTATTTCTAGCTGCCTTTATCTGGGAGAGAATTAATATTAATCTGAGTTTATACAGGAAAGAAATATTTCTAGATGAATACAATGCCAAGCCATTCCATGTTGAGTCTCTTGTGATTTATTGTTAGAGGTAAAACTGAATGGGAGATAGAGGAAAAAGTGCCATGTATGCTTTTCTTCTGGAAGTGATTATTTCTATAAACAAATCTCTTGCAAGTTGCTGAGCACTCAAAGGTTCTTTGAAGTCAATTGAATGTATTCAATTCACTCAAGTGGCTGTCTGCATCTCAAAGGACTGGCATGGCTAGACCTTCTCATGTAGCATAGATGCAGCTGGAGGCTGTGGAAAAGGTGTTTGCATTTTTTGGCATGGATTTATCAAAGTTATTAAATGTTGTCACTAATGGATTTCTCTGACAGTGTGGTCTCCTCTATTTACTAAGGAGTACTTGGAGACATGTAAAGACTGAATGCCAGACAGCAAAGACAGCAGTGGGCACAGGAGGTGGAAAGCCTGTACCAGTGTATTCCCACCACCACTGTGCACCAGCTGGGGTGGAAACCATTCCCACTTGTCACACACCACAGGTGAGACTGCAGTGGATGTATTAATATACACCATTGCCTGCTGCTTGGGTATGTGCCATGCTGCTGCCCAGTGCATTCAGCACTGCTCTATGGCTTCTGGGTGGCTACAAGCTGGAGAACACCAGAGTGGTTTTTGTGTGCCCATGGAGAAACCATTTCTTTGTTCAGGGTTGTTGTTTGCACAAGAGAAGCACACAGAGTGTTTGCAGGTGTGTGATGCAGAACTCAGCTGCTGTGTGGTGGGCATAACCCCATGCAAGATCCCAGGAGGAAGGAGACAGGCTGGGGATAGAGGAGGAGGAGGATTAAAGCAAATACCTAATTCAGTATTCAGTCACAGCCAGAAGATGTGCTCCAGTTAAGGTAATGAGACTGGAGATTTGGGAGAAAGATGGTTGAGCAGGAGGAAGACAGCATGTGCTCTGGGGTGGCATCAAAGGAAGGCTGAGCACTCCTGATTCTACTGATGTCAGGTGGATCAGATGCCACTCATCTCCTAGGGAAAAAAGGACCTTTTTTGGGGAGTTAGCATAAGGATGAAGAGTCACAGATGAATTCTTCCTTCTCTGAGAATATAACCCTTATCGCTGCCAAACTCTGAGGGGATTTGTCCTGAGTGCCAGTGGAGAACAGACTGCCCTGGGCACAGGATGGCCAAAACAAAAAGAATTGTGCCACAAAGTGTTAGGGTCCCTGGAGACCCAAACTCTGTATGGCTGGATCAACATTAAAAAAAGCAAAAATATCTCCAATTCTGTGCCAGTTCCTCTGGGACCTGATGCAGGGAAAACCCACATGACTCTGCTTTCCCCTGGAGCTGGTGAGAGCTGCTCCCACTCACTGTGTTAGCAAATTGATCCCCCTGGTCACTGCGGGGGGAGGCCGAAAAGAATGGATGGCACTGCAAGCTCGTTATGAAAATGCAGGGAACCAGAGTTAATGAATCTTGGATGAGCCTCTAATCTGCCTGGCCCTTGGTGTGGTGGTAGAGGAAGCTGGGTGGGGAGGATCTGATTAACATCTCAGTGGAAATGACAGACCCTAGAATGCAGAAGGTCCTATCATATCTGTCAGTGCTTGCATCTGGGAGGGGCCACTGTCAGAGAGCTGAGGTCTCTGTGGATTAGATCAGGAAGGTTTTTTTCATCAGAACAGATATATTTTTGGGATTTACATCTTCTCTGTCCCTGGCAGCTTGCCTTGATGAAATACTGATTACACAATTGCAATCTGACTTAAACCACGGCCAAAAAATCAGCTGTGTGCTGGGTTATAGTGCGAATACCTTCTCTGTGATAGCAAAGATTTGAAATTGTGGAGTGCATTATGTCTCCTGACACAGGAAAACTTGTAGAGAGCAACAATCAGGCTGTTTACTGTGGGCGTATGGAAAAAAAAAATCAGAAAAACTGGAATTTCTGCCTTCTCTGAGATTTTCTAAGTCCAGTTACCAGATTAACGAATGAAACCACTTG